GCTCGAAAAGCAAAGTCTAAGGGCGAATTATTGTTTGCAGATGTTGAAATCGCACGAACACGAGTTGGTGCGTTGTTGGACCCTAGATCGACGAGGTCCCACATCTCCGAGAAGGCAATTCGCAAGTTGCATTTCGAAATGAAGGTGAAAGACTTGTCTCGACCTATCACGTCTATGTTAACCGACAAAAGTACGATCACTGTCTCTCAATACGTTGATCGTATTAAGTGTCAATTCAGAATGAGGGAGGGAAAGAAGATTGTGCATGAGTTATCTTTCCTCATAGAGAAGAATCTGCCTTTTGATCTCATTCTGGGTATGGGCTGGCACGAGGAAGTCAACCTGGATATCGATTTCAAAGGCAAGATTGTGCAACTTAAAGATGCACAATCTGAAATGAAACCAATTAAGTTATATCATAAATTTGGTTCTGATTCTAGTTTGTCTTTTTGTTGTATGAGTTACCCAGCTTTTCGTTCGATGGTTTCGAAGAAAAAGTTGGAACGGGAAGTCATGTTTGTATTGGTAAAGAAAACCGGTGAGTCTTTTTTTCCATGCCCTCCAACTATTGAAAGTCTTCTTTCAGAATATAAGGATTTGCAGCTTGAACCTACCTGAATTACTGAACGTGCTATTAAGCACACCATTGAAATCATTCCAGGTAGTAAAATTCCCAAGGGCCCTATCTATAGAATGTCTTCCAGGGAACTTGAGGAATTAAGGAAACAACTGCAGGACCTTACCGACAAGGGATGGATTCGCCCTAGTTCATCTCCCTATGGTGCACCTGCCTTGTTTGTGCCCCTATGCACTAACTCACTACCCTGTTTTGAAAATTGTTGATCCGTCTCTTCCCTTTATCGTTACTACTGACGCAAGTCAGTATGGGATTGGCGCAGTCCTCCAACAGAACAACGGCAATGGTTACAGACCAATTGAGTTTATGTCCGCACGATTGTCATAAAAAAAGGTCGCCAACTGCACGTATGAAAGAGAATTGTATGCTTTAGTCTATGGGCTGGACACATGGAAACACTACTTGTTAAGGAGACACTTCACTGTGTACTCAGACCACTCGACACTCAAGTGGATAAAGACACAGCCTCGACTCTTTGATAAGCTAGTACGATGGTCTGCATTCATAGACACTTTTGATTTTCAGTTAAAAATTATCAAAGGAAAGTCTAACGTGGTTGCAGATGCATTGTCTAGAAGATGTGATTTCTTTGGYGCTATTGTCTCTTACCTAGATGTTGGGAATGATTTGAAAGATAGAATTTGTCAAGGATATGCCACTGACCCTATATGGAAACCTATTATGGATGTTCTTGCAAAAGACCCAACCCTACTTCCCAACTATAAGGGAACCGATGGTTTGCTTTCCTTGTTAGACCAAACTGAACAGAGATCGTGTATTCCTCACCAGGAAGAAATTAAAAGTCTGCTTATTGGGAAATGTCACGACGCTGAAGGTCATTTTGGTTTCAAGAAAACTTACTCTGAGGTTAGAGAACGCTTTGAGTGGAAGGGATTGAAAGAAAACGTACTAACTTATGTTTGTGCATGTCTTGTGTGTCAGAGAAACAAACCCTCACATGGGAATCCACTTGGTCTTCTCAAAACCATTACCGATTCCAAGCGAACTAAGTGAGTCTATCTCGATTGATTTCATGAGCCTCACCAAAAGGCGAAATGACAATAGTCAAGTAATGGTTATTGTGGATCGTTTATCTAAGTATGCCATGTTTATTCCCTTACCCGCAGAATCACGAACTGAACTTGTGATCCAAAAGTTTCAGATGCGATGGGTGACTGAGTATGGTTTCCCTCTCTCCATTGTATCTGACCGTGATGCCAGGTTCACGAGTATGCCATGGCAAAAGCTGATGGAAACATACGGTACACGTTTGACCATGTCATCAAGGCGACACCCTGAAACGAATGGACAAAGTGAACCGATGAACCGTTTGTGCCAGCAGCTTTTGCGCATGTATGTGAGACCCGATCAGATTGATTGGGATGAGAACTTACCCAAAATAGCAAGTGCATACAATAGTAGTGTCCATACTGCTAGAGGGCGAACACCAAATGCATTGCATAAGGGGTGGAAACCTAAGCATCCCATTGATATGCTGACAAGGGACCAATTCCTTAGGTTACCTCCAGGGACCCGGGAATATGCAGTATTGTTCCAATAAGACATTAAGAAAGTAAAGGATAATCTAAAGAAAACTCAGGACCGGATGATTGAACAAGCTGATAAGCATCGCCGGCCATCGACATTCCAGGTAGGTGATCTCGTCTGGGTGAAGTCCAAAGAGTTTTCACTAAAAGAAGAGGTGTCTCAAAAACAATTGCCTGTCTATTTTGGACCCTGGGAAGTTCTTAAAATAATTGGGGATGCAGAGGGACCGTCTTACCGTATTGATATTCCCCCTCACCTCAAAACATATCCTGTCTTTCACGCGTCCAAATTGCTACCTTATGTAGAAGGAATGAGTTCCCACATAGAACGTCTATGATTCCGCCAGACATGGATGGCGGATATGAAGTGGACAGAATCACAGAGCATGGGTACTTTTCTAGAGGTGCACGTGGACGACCTCAGAAGCAGTTCAAGGTACGTTTCAAGTCTCAAGCACCATCAGAGGATAGATGGTTTAGTAAACGAGAATTACTCGAAATTGCTCCTGATATTGTCGCTGCTTATGAACGAGGGTTAAAGTCTTAAATATTCCTGCGGTGGAACTCGAAAATGGGCCGGCAGGAATGTAGTGACCCTGTTCAGAAGTAGCCTGGGGCTCAAAACTCAGCCCCAAGAAACACAGATATGAGTTGGTCTGCGCTGGGCTGTGTGACCAAGACACGCCCAGGCCTGAGTCTGTCGAGTGTGGCTGTGTTACCGAACGCTGCACACAAGAAATTCAAGAGTCAAAGTCAACTGTAGAGTCAAAGGTACCGCACCCAGGCCCTTGGTTGGATACACTCACTTGTTGTGAGTTGTAACCAGACAGCATCCAGGACGGAGGGAATTCGGTTTCAGGCCAATCTGGGCCCTCATTCGCATTGAGATCTAGACGGCTGAGGGATACAGCATCCGGGGTCCAGACCCCGCGTCAACACTACATAAGAGCTGACTTCCTGGCTTTGACATTCATTCAGTCTTGCGTCAATGCTGACTTCACGCGTTGACTTTGACGCTGGTGCGATGCTGCGACACTGGTTGGACGTTGGCTCTACGCTGGCACTTGAGCAGATACGGCGACGCGCTGCTGGTTCGGCATGGTGGCTGGCTGGCAATTGTCTTCTGGGCATGCTGACGTGGCAGCTGCCACGCGCCGCCGCTGACGTGGCTGCTGCCACTTGTAGTCTTGCTGACATGGCGGGGCTACGTGATTGATAGTGCTGTTCTTATTCATCGTCACTCGGAAGGAGATCAAGACTGTGGGGCGAATGTAGATACGTACCTGGTCTCTTGATGTTGACATTGCTCCAGCTCGTCGATGATGACAAGTTGATGTGCCCCGTGGCACATTGAGCTAGAACTTCAGATTTGTGCTCGAACTATTGATTATTGAGGTGGCGAGAGAGAAGGGAGCCCGAAGCAGAAGCGGGCATTGTTCTTCTTCTCAAATCTAAGTCTATTCTCCCTTCCCTCTCATTCGTCTGTGTATGTTTCCCCATCTCTTTCTATCTGGACACAATTATGATTATTGACATTCATCAGCAGGTTGACGTCTATCTGAGCTGGCATTGTTGACAAGTGTCTTAACGATCTGGGTTCATTGGATAAGAAGAAAAACAAGTAAAAATGAAAAGAGAATTAAAATTAGTGAGTGGGCGAGCACGTTTTGGACACTGCCATCTTTGGCGATTTTTCATTTTTTCTTGGGATAGCCAAATGCCCTGAAAATTTACAGATGTGTATCTCATATAATATAAAGCTCATAAAAAGTAATAAAATATTTGAGGCACCAAAATAAAAACAGAATAACAAGTGAAAAGTGAAGAAAAAAAAAAACTGAGTGGCCGAGCACATTTTGACACCGCCATCTTTGGCGATTTTTCAATTTTTTTTTGGCTTGGCAAAATCCCTTGAAATTTTACATGCATGTAAGGCATGCCATACTAAAGTCACAAAAAAAAAATCAACCAAAAAAAATACTTTTTGGGCCCCGAAATGTTTTTTGGTGGGGGCCGAACCCCTTCAGGTTCAGACCCCGAACGGGACCCCGAACGCCTGAACGTTCGGGGGTCGGCCCCGGGGGCCCCGAACGTTCGGGCTGGTAACTATGCATGTCACACCAAAAACAAAAAACAATAAAAAGCAAAAAATCAGGGCAATTTGACAGTTTGTGTAAATTCGCCGAAAATAACACACCCCAAAATATATACATATATACATATATACATGTACATATCTGCCTATCACAGGCTATCAAATACGTTCAGCATGCACGAGGGGACATTTATGCTGACAATGTTCACTTCATTGCTGCAAAAGAGAGAAATACTGCCACGCAACACCAAATACGCAACGAGTACTGCTACTCTATGTGTGTGTGTGTGTGTGTGTGTGTGTGTGTGTATGTGTGTGTGTGTGTGAGAGAGAGAGAGAGAGAGAGAGAGAGAGAGAGAGAGAGAGAGTTCAACGCCCAATACCGTGAAAACGATGAGTGGGACTCTGACAATGTGGATGCGGGCATAATTTGCAATTTGCTAGGGTCTCCCAACACAGCGCGGGCGTGCAAGAAAACGAGGAGAGGGGGGGATCAGGAGTGGAGCGGGGACGGGGTGGTGGAGGTGAGGGGGAGGGGGAGGGGCGGCAGACCGGCGAGAAGATGGAGCTGAAAATACGAATCCATGCAGAGAGAACAAGCGAGAGCAGACGATGAGACCACAAGGCAAAAAAGAACACGCCGGGCGCTCATCTTTTAGGCATATGATGATACAGTGCGTGGGGGGTGATGGCCTCGAGCTCGTGACCTCGCGATTCATACCTTTTACATTTCCACTTGGGAGATATGTATTTGCATCTCTCCGAGTAAACAGGCCGCCGACGCAAGTCACGAACCCATCTTCCCTCCAATAAATTGCACTCTGCTCCACCTAGATGTAATCGCGTGCATACACACGTACACGCACGCAGAAGCAACCATGCACACGTGATCACATGAATTGGATGCACAGGTAAATTCCATAAGTTGGAAAGAATGCCAAAGAGAAAGATACGGTGATAATGCCGTGGAGAATACTGCCGTCTTCACCTGAATAGAACACCTGGTAATTATCACCGTACCTAGACTGAAAGTTGCACCAAATACGGCTGTAATGACCGGGCGTTCTATTCGGGTGAAGACGGATTGACACAACATGTAAGAAGCAAGCCGCATTGAGTTGATGGGAAAACGCTTTGCTACGCTAACCACCAATAGTTGGTTCCCGAATCATTAGATGGGTGTGTCAATAATCAAATAAATACTGTTAAATTATAGGCTACCAGCCCAGCCGCCCGGGTCACCTTGTTTGCCCAGGCCCGGCCTAGCAAGGACCAAAGGAAAAAAAAATGAAAAAAAATGCAGAAAAATAAACTAGACTACGTTTGCCTCAGGGTCGCATCGGCATTCCTTACCACATTTAAAATAAAAATAAAAACTATTTTTTTTATTTCTCTAGGCTATCAGCCGGCCCGCCCGGGCACCTTGTTTGCCCGGGTGGGCCGACCGTGCAAGGGCCAAAGAAGGTCCCAGCCAGGTTTGGCGTTCGGGACGGGCCGAACGCCCGAACCCGAACGCCCGAACATACGGGACCCCTTCGGAAGGCGTTCGGCCGTTCGGGCCGAACGCGGACCGAAACAAAAAAAAAAAAAAAAAAAAAAAAAAAAATTTTTTAAAAAATTCCCCAAAAAAACATATGTTATGGAGAAAAATAAACTAAACAACATTTGCCTGGGCACTACATCCAAATTCTTTACCAAATTTTGTTTTTTGGGCCCGGCCAGGCAATTAGTCCTGTGCCTGTCTCTTATACACATCTAGATGTGTATAAGAGACAGGGCTAGCAGTGTGACCGAACGCTGCACACAGGAAATTCAAGAG